GCCACTGATAGTTAGAAACTCTAGTAGAAATGATGGGTGAATCGCCTAAGAAAAATTTTGGTATTTTTTTTCTCAATTGTCAAAATTTGATAAAAGATGGACCACAATCATGATCGTGATAGAGTCGAATTAGGGGGGGGGGGTGAAATCAGGTTCGCCCCCCCCCTAGTGGTGCCACTGCAGCTAACTGAATCATTAATCACAGCATCATTAAAATTACTTTAAAACGAAATTTCTTTGAAATCTTCATTTAGAATTTACTCCATCTTCACATTCAACGACTCATTAATACTTCAATTTTCTAGGATTTGCACAAAGAGCACAAACAATTCAATGATTTTCTCAATAGAGAGCTCAGACAGCCTTGCATAAAATGTATGCAAGGCCATTGCAAAATTTTTTTTGTCCCCCACAAGGAGCTCTTAGGGAAACTAATGTCATTGGTGGGAGTTCTGGTCACATGATACGGACGTATTTATTACATTATTAATCATACCTATTAAAAATGAAAAATTATTAAATTCAAATAATAAAAAGAGCAAATCTAAGTTTCTTAGACTCCTTTGGGATATCGATGTTTTCAGATTGGTTGTGTATTTGCTGAATATGATCTGTTTAAACATACTATTTTTATACAACATTTTATTTACATAGATTTTCGTATTTTTGACACAGTTTTATATCAATTTCTCAAGAAAGGGACATCAGATAGAACTCTCATGGGTCTCGATCAACTCCTTAAATGCTTAGGATTCAGCTTATACTCATTTTCATTTTTCCTTTTCAGTCCCTGATAGTCAGCTCTTTCAATAAATTTATAGAACCGAAGTTAAGATTGTCATCTTCTTGAAAATTTCATAGTTCAAGAACGGGAGACCTGAATCGTTTTACAATTTTCTGGTTATCTCAGTATAGTTTTTTGATGATGCTATATGATAATAATATCTGCATTGCTCGTCTGTTTTTTTGTATCCAGTAAATTTTACTACGCGATTTGGATTACAGGACAGTACAATTAGTGGCCAAGGGTTGGTCAGGATAATAAGAAAATTCTACTGGGTATAACATTTTTATTTAGGTTTATTGCTTCATATTGTCCAAATTGTAAAACATTGTACACCTGCTCTAGTCATCAGCAGCTGCATAAACTTAGGTAAATTAATCATATTCCTTTATCTTTGCAACCTAATAATGCTGTAGACCTTTTATATTTCAAACTATAAGTTTAGTTAGATCAACTAATCTGAGTTCGAATTATCGAACTATCAGGCCGCAAAGATATAGGAATAAGAAAATTTATGTTCGTGGCAAAAACTCAATTGATTAGCATTCTAATCCAGGGCATTCATTTAGGGAAGTCTTAGGATATCACTAAGTTAAGGTTCAGTAGAAACATCAGAATTTAAAAATGCTTCAATCGAATCCAAATGATGATTGCCTCCGACCAGTTTACTGAAAATTCTTCAATTTTGTGCTACTTTTGAACCGGAGAAAGGTGTCATAAGAATCCAAACATAATTAACTATAGTCTCCGACATTATCCAATGCTAAATATCTGGGCACTAAAAATCTGATTTTTAGATGTATTGCAGAGGGGGTTAACTGTCTTCCAGCCCTTCAACCTAAGGATCTACAATACTTTAGGGAAAACTAAAATATTAAAAGCTTGATATGTTTTGCCATATATACATCCAAGTTGGATGAAACTTTAATTTAAATTTAACATTAGAATTGAAAAAACATCAATTCTATCTGCATTGGCCTTTGTAAATTTGTATGTTCAAAGTACATAGTATTTGTTGTTTGAAGTATTCTAGACGTTTTGAAACTAGTGAAGTAAGACACTGAACTCTAAATTTTCCTCCCACACCGACTTGCAACTCTTTCTAGTTTTTGATACTTTTTTGTCACCAGGGACTGTACTCGTGACTTCAAGTGGCCTTCCATGCAAAGATTGCTTAATGCCCGGTTTACCACGGTAGCCTTGAAACCTTAATCTGATCAAAAATGTGGAGGATACCGTCGTTTTCCATACTTGAAAAGTGTTTAATTCTGATATCTTCTCTAATGCTTCTTACAAGCAAGAAATGCGCCAGTCACTTTTTCACAGAACCCGCAAATGAAAATAAACAGTTAAATGAAACATGAGCTGAAAACTTTAGAATGTGATATCCTTAATCCCGATCTGTTGACTTTTCTGGAGTTTAAATTCATGTGGAGAACAAGCAATATTTAATCTGGATATTAAGAAAAGGAACGTATTAAGCATTAATCCTGATATCCACCATTCTAAAGTTTTCAGCTATGGATATTTAATTCATGCTTGATCAGACAAAGCTTTTAAGGATACTGTTGTAAATCGGACATTGCCATCGTTGCATGGAGGATCATTTAAAATTACGCTTACAGTCTCTTGAATGTGACGTTAAATGAAAACATCTTGATAATATTTTCTGGTTTTAGTCTCGAGATAGAGGATAGTTTTAATAAATCTCTTAAAATCCGACAGGAAATCCTCGAAAACAAAATCAAGGACGAACAGCATCGAGAGAAACTAGAGGAGCAGGAAGAGGAACAGGGATCGGAAGAGGAAGAAACTGATGATGCTACAAGGGTAGATGATAACTATAAAAGTTTAAACCCCTGCCCAGAGAACGAAGAAATCGAGAAGGAGGACAAAAAATCCATGCCCACTATGCTAGTTAACTACAAGATTAATCTAATTGAGAATAATGAGCATTTTGATACATCTAGGGACCAAAATTATCTGAAATCGGAAAAGGATATAAATGCCCCTAACACTATCAATGCCTCGAAATATTACAAAAGAGAAAAAATCAAGGCAACTAAAAATTCAGAGGAAAAAGAAGCAAATTATTCAGACTCAGCGATAAATACTGAGACCTTACAGGAGACTCCAGTCCTTATAGGAAGACTTCGAAGAAGACAAACGCCAAATAAAGAAAATGTGGAAATAAAAAAGATAACTCAAGAAGTTATCGGCCACGTTTGTGATTTGTGTGGCAAAAGTTATCAACGAAAAACTGGGCTCAAACGCCATGTTTCAACATTTCATAAGAAAGAGAAACCGTTCAGTTGCGAGACTTGTGATAAAAAGTTTGGAAGAATTGACAGTTTAGTGAAGCATGGATTGACTCATACAATGGAGAAGAATTTGATTTGTGAAATATGTTCGAAGGCTTTTAATCAATCATCCAATCTGATCAAACACAGGTAAAAAAATTATGCTTTGTGATCAAGGTTGGAAAAAGTGTTAAGGCCAAACACTCAATTTATTCTTAAAGGTTCATGTTCACTGTTTAATTACTATAAAAGCCTGACTAACGTTGTCTTAAAAGTATAAATCCAAATCCTAAGTTTAAAAAATCCGCAAAAAAATCTAGATGAAATTAATCTTTTATTTACCTTTTTAAAGTATTTATTCAGTCTATATTTATCTAATTGATCTAAATGAAAAGAAGTTAAGCTTAGATTAAACATTGATTTTTATTTTAAGGAATGCGATGCATCTTGACACCAATAGGGAGTCTTACAGGTACTAATACAATTTTTTTCAAATCAAATATGTTAGATTTGAGTACTGTATAGGTTACATTTTCTGAAACTTTATATTTTGTATGCATATTGACTCACTGCGAATCGTAAACCCTGTCTAAAATTTCGATCTAGTACAGTCATTTTGGAATTATAGAATGGACGTAAGACAACCCTAGAAGTCTGATTTGATTTGATTTTTGATCATTGTTTTTATTTCCATGCACAGTGTTTAATATGAACAAATATAAACATCTCCCCACGGTTTCTGTTTACATGTACACTTAAAATTTTACAACATGTAAACAGGGAAATTTTTTCAGGTTTACATGTACTGTATGTACAGGGAAGTACTACAGTAAGAGGGAGCTGGCAAAGCATATTCGAATATCTCATGAGAAGATCAAGGATCATAGGTTAGGACAGAATTAGTCTCTCCTGCATTTTCACGAAAATTACAATCAGATTATTTTAGAAAAGCTTTGTATTTACAGTGGAACACTTCGTCTTTTTGTTTTTTAGGTCGTTTAAAGATTATAAAAATATTACAGCGACACATGATAATCAATAAAATGCAGAAAAAGATCGTCATTCGGCACCTTCGCTTCAACTATATAGTTTAAAATAGCGCCGAGGACTTAGTATTTGTAACTTACAAGGTTACTCTCAAAGGATGAGACTTCAGAGGCGACTGTACGAAATGTAAACGGTCTGTTTTTCATATATTCATGATTCTCTGCAACTGTAAACTGGGTTAGTTCTTCGGATAAAAATAAGCCATTAATTAATAAATTGAACCTTGAAATTATCATATTTATTAAGTTTCAGATAATCTTTACAGTCTCATCCTTTGTGGGTAACCCTGTATAGCGTATATTAAGTACAACTCTGCAAACATTTCATGGCGCATTTTCCTATTTAACCGTTAAAAATTATAAAATCTTCAGCGATATTTTTTTATTAAATAATAGACCAAAGACTACAATCATTCTGCTGTTTATCGGTTACCACTGAATCTGAAAAAATAATCCTTGTTAGAAAGTTTAATCCATTAATTAAAAAAACGTTGTAGTTTATTAACATATTAACAATGCAAGTCATAAGGCCTCCAGTCTTGTTTAAGTGGAGTTACTTCAATCAGACTGAAGTGTGGAAATATGTGCAGAGGCGTCTTATGGAGGGGACGTCCCCCACTCTAAAATTGGGAGCCTTAAATTTTAATTTTTGAGCATAGATTAAAATAAGATTTTGCCTGCGCCGCCAATTTTTCACTCAATTAAGATTTTTTGATAAAAATCAAAATCTTGCAGACACATTTTCCACCTTCCACCCCACCCCTAGCTGGTCGTTTTTGATATGAAATTGACCAAATTCACAGTAAAAAATTCCAGAGGGGAGGAATTTTATTACATGGGGGGGGGGGGTAATAACTAAATCATTCCCCCCCCCCCCCCCTGCAAAATATTATATGCCGCACCTGAATATACCTGAATATAAGTATGATTTCTCTAAAAGTCTAATATTTGATTTGATTTGAGGTGTGTGCTGTGTGAAGGTAAGTTTGGAGGACGAGCTCTAGTCCGCAGACATGTCAAGAAGGTTCATCATGTTCTTAATCCTGTTGCTCAGATTCATTTCCAGAAACTATTCGATATTCTAGACTAAACTAGGAGCTAACAATATAAACTGTAGTAAACCAGAATTAACTGGTGGATGGAAACCGACCTGTGCAGTGCAGACAGTTAACTCGAGAGTGAAGCAAACCAAACTGACCAAATTCTAGTAACTCTTACAAACACTAAAAATCAGACTAAACCCACTTAAGCGAGCATAAATGGCATAAAACTGACAAAATCAGTGTAAATTTTATTAAACCAGATTAAATCTAAAAAAAGAAGTTTGAAAAATCTAGATTTCGGGTGCAATAGAAACGCGTCACCACGGAAACGGACCAACACGGAAGCGGACCAAAAAAACGGAAATCTCCCCATAATAGAATCTTTTGAGGAGTTTTTTTAAAAAAAAAGATAATCGGAAATCCCTTTAAACTTATTTTTTGAGGGATTTCCCACTTTTTTCGATCGGTTTCCCCGATTTTTAGGTCGTATTCCGGTTTTAAAGGGTCAAATATTTTTGAGTGATTTCCCAATATTTCCGTTTCCGCATATTTTTGGTCCGTTTCCAGGTTTTAAAAAAGTAAAATATTTTCAATTTGTTGACCTTCTTGTTCCTTAATATTTCCATCCGTTTCCGCATATTTTTGGTTCGTTTCCAGTGTTTGTTGATCGATTTCCTGTTTGTTTTTTTCGATCCGTTTCCGCAAATTTTTGGTCTTTTTCCGGTTTTTAAGAAAAGTTATAAATTTTCAATTTACTGGTCGGTTTCCTTTTTTTTGATCCGTTTCCGCATATTTTTTGTCATTTTCCGGTTTTCAGAAAAGTTTATAAATTTTCAGTTTGTTTGGTCGGTTTCGTGTTTTTTCGATCCGTTTCCTATACAAAATGTGATGAATATTCACAAAATTTTTTTGGAACATTGCAAATATCAGAGAAACCAAATTTTTGTATTTCAAATAAAATTCGTTTTAAAAATTTTGGAAAAATGTTTTTTTAGTGTTTTGCAAAATTTGAAAAATATTCATCAAAAATTCAATGAGGTATGACACAAAATGCGCAAAAAAATGTATCCAATTTCTAAAGGCATAATGGTCATAAGGTTTTATTAGATAATATTTCCAGCATATTTCCACTTATTTTTTTGCGGATTTGAAGCAGACAAAAATTTTAAAATTATGCAAAACATCGCTATTCGTCCTGTACATGTAAATATCTACAGTACAATTGGGCATACATGTATATTTTAAAAGTACATTAGGCCAGGGCTTCATCCATAGAAATCTCAGAATTTACAGATCTTTATAAAGTTTAATATGTCTCAAATGAATCCAAAGAAGTTTTCCACAACACTGCACACTTAGTTCAACTACCTTACATAGCCGGTCACTCCCTTTAAAGACCTAACTTTGTGATTATTAACTTCAGAATTGTACTTCTAAAACTAAGTTCATAAATAATTGACGTTTATTATTTTAAAGATCTGAGACGACCTTCAATTCGTCTTGCTACTGTATGACCATTGTTTATAAGGGTTGGTCGAATTTGAAACCAAGCTTGAGGGCCTAGTGATATACCTGAACCTAAACATTCTAAAAACCTCGTAAAAACAAATTTATTAAAAATTTAACAAATGGCGGGATGAGACTCATTTTAAGGAAATAATAGATAAAACAAGTGACTTTTTTAACTTTATCAATTTATTTATTTTTAATTTTTTTTTATGAAACAAATTATTTGATACATGTATTTAATGCAGAATGCAGATAATCATGTTTCCAATCTTCTTGTTTCCTGGCTGTCCTGTAATGCTCGTTCAATTAGCTGCATACCCCCGCCCCCCCAGGAGGGTTAATATGCAGTTTTGAGATGCTGATCAGGCAATTTGTAGTATTTTAATATCAGCTCTTGAGTTTCTGTATTTATTTCAGTTGTTTTTGATATCGGCCATCTATGCAGGTTTATTGCTGACATTGTTGTAATGAGAACTTCCCTTTGTCAGCTGCATTACATGTATCAGTGTCTTGCAGTAATTTAGAAAGAAATTAAAAGACCTCCTAGCCTTAACTGCATTCGGCTAGGTTCAAGGTGATTTAGGTGTACCCCCTAGGAAAGGAACACCCAATGAAACCAATGATGATCTCTCTCAGAAAGTTTTGATTAAGATTCCAAAGCAAAGCAGTTTCTGAGTTCCACAATATCTGCTCGTGAAGTAGGATAAGGTTGGAATTTAGGAGGTAGGCGGATGAGGATGGGGGTGTAAGGGTAACAGGTATCAGAAATACCATAGTCCTCACTGTTAACTTGTATTCCCACGTGGACAGATTTTTAAAGAAAAAATAACCCGCTAAGCATGCTGTCCCATCGCTTTAAAACACGGGGAGTGTGTCTTTTGCCTATCATTGTCAGAGGTCTGCCATGAGTAATCCAGTTTCCATTGTGAGGAGGGTGAAAAACCAGTTTATGGTATTTGATTTAAAGTCTATTGAAGGCTCTGTTCCCCCTTAAAACCTGTATCAGCATGTACTTCATCCCTGATGTTTTGAGTTTCTGTATTGCTTCTGTATTCATCTTTATTACTTTATCTTGTTCGGGATTAGTCACGCTTTCTGCTCAGTTGTGGAGAGAGAAGAGAAGAGAATTGTCCTTGCTATCTAGACTTCTATACAAGTACAACGCACATAGCGCCCTTTCTCTTAACAGGCTTAGAAAGCTCTGCTGACACCCTTCCTCTGGGAGGTTCGGATACACACTGTAAAACAAGTGACTCTTTTATCCATTTTTTGATATAAATTGACACGAAAAAAAATAAAAGCGAGCAAAATAAAATCAGAACCTTCCAATGGTTTAAAATAGGTCTGATCAACTTTGACAACCAGATTGCTAATAAAAAAGCAAATAAATCAACCAACCCTATACTGATTTAATTTTACATTTTGTTCAAAAAGAATTATACTATATATTTTATACATTTGCTAACAAATTTAGGTTTTTTTTTATTTTCGTATTTTTTACAAATTACATTTTTTAAGCAACTAGTAATTGATACATGTTTATAATGCAGATAGTCATTTTTCCCAACATTCTTCTTTTCTGTTAACCCCTGTTTACTTTATAAGACAATTATTACTTTGTTTTTATTTGTTTTTTGACAAAATATATTTTAAATTTTTTAATTATTCTTCCTTGATTTTTCAAAATTTAACGTTTTTTTTTTTTCATAATAAAGAAATTAAACCGAAATATTGGGAAGATCAAAAATATTTACCAAAAATATGCGGAAACGGATTGTAAAAAAGGAAACCGAGCAACAAAATGAAAATTCATAACATTTTTCTGAAACCCGGAAACGGACAAAAAATTTGCGGAAACTGATAGAAAAAAAAGAAAACCAACCAATAAACTGAAAATTTATAACTTTTTCCAAACCCCGGAAACGAACCTAAAATATGCGAAAACCTATCTAAAAAACGGGAAACAAATCAAATGTAAATTTAACAGAAATGGATCAATAATATTCGGAAATCCCTCAACACTTCAGTTTTTGAGGGAATTCCAATAATTCTTGAAAAAAAGAAACGGACCCTAAATTCACTTTTCGGTCCGTTTCCGTGTTGAGGCGTTTGCATAGCACCAGATTTTTCCAGTCCAAAACTAATCTTAACAAAATTCTTTCTTTTGACTATTAAAAAAAACAAATTCAATCAAATATAATTGACAAAATTATAATGTGATATTTATGGATTATTAATTAATATTCAGATATATGAAAATATTCAGATATATGAAAATATTTCAGATATAGAATACTATGGACAGATCTGTCCGGAGTAGAACAAGTTCAACTAGTTCTGTTAGATCTCCAGTGGGTTCCTCTACTCCAGCTCCTACACCTATTGGACAAGTTACTCCAGCACCAGCTAGACATACTCATAGAAATAGGAACAGTGATTATCATGTGCCCTTCCCTTTTTTGCAATATATAACATTTTTTGGTAGTTTGAAAACAAAAATTTGCTTTGCCAATTAAAAGATCTTTTGTTCTGAACGGTTTTATTTGTTCTTGTCAATTAGAATTTGTTTTGTTCCTTTCAATAATTTGAATCTCAAAATTCGTACGCATTAACTACTATTTCTGTTCTACTAGGCCTTTAGGGCGCTTCGCATTTTTGGATACAAACCAAAAGACAAGCCAAGTATATATATAGATTCTTTTCTATTTACAAATCAGTAGTCAAAACACATATATAACCACATTTCTATTTAAAATATTTCATTTTTGTAGTTACCTTAAAGTCTCCAAAAATCATTATTACAATTAAATTTTATTGCCTTGTTTATTAATTCTGATTTGAATCTGATAAATTATTTAACAACCAGAGTCCCATCACCAGACCAGCTTACAGCTTCTCTTACCAGACTAAGGGCAGGTAGGAACTCCCAACTAAAGCAAACTAAATTTTACAAATTGTTTTCGTATTACGTGGCATTTTCAATTAATCTGACGATATTTTTTACCCTCGAAAATGAATCAAATACATGCCAAGTTTCAATTAATAAAAATAAGACTGAAACTACTTTTGATGGTGATGACTGATGACTGATGACTGATGACTGATGACTGATGACTGATGATTGATGACTGATGGATGACTGATGACTGATGACTGATGACTGATGACTGATGACTGATGACTGATGACTGATGACTGATGACTGATGACTGATGACTGATGACTGATGGATGAATGATGACGGATGGCGGATGGCGGATGACTGATGACTGATGACTGATGACTGATGACTGATTGACTGATTGACTGATGACTGATGACTGATGACTGATGACTGATGACTGATGACTGATGACTGATGACTGATGACTGATGACTGATGAGTGATGACTGACTGATGGATGACTGATGGATGACTGATTGATGACTGATGACTGATGACTGATGACTGATGACTGATGACTGATGACTGATGGATGACTGATGGATGACTGATGAATGACTGATGGATGACTGATGACTGATGGATGACTATATTGCTAATGATGATAATAATATTGATAATAATAGAACGTGGACTATCTAACCCTGCTACTCCAGCTCCTACTCCTAACAGTAGTGCTCCGCTGCACCACCATTCTCTTCATCCAGACGCAATACTTGCTGGAATATCAAGTATAGGGGGAGACGAAGGTAATTTTAGAAATATCAAGGGCTTAGTTTCAATTGCCATAATACTTTTGTCATAAATACTTTTGCCATAATTGCATTTGCCATAATACATTTGCCATAAGTAACACTTGCCATAAATTACACTTGCCATAATGGTTACACTTGCCATAATTACAAATTAAATACAAATTAGAAATCTAATTCAGAGACAGTTCGAATTTGGGTTCGAATTCTAGCTGAGCACATTTTAACCAAACATTTCCAATATTTCACTTCTGTAAACAAGGTATTGGCTACATAGGTGTAGTTGTTGCTGTCTCGAACCACTGCAGTTTACCCTTACTTGTGGTCTCAAAGGTCACCAAAGGGTCCTCCATTGTGAGAAAATATGGAGCTGAACTTGTGTCAAATGTTCTGTTTTAAAACATTGAGAAAACTAAAGGTGGGAATTTTCATGGGAAAATTTCCCGCATTTACAATAAAAAAAGACAGATTTATATATTTTTAAAATTAGAAAATTATGACAAAAGTAATAATAGCAAGTGTAACCATTATGACAAGTGTAATTTATGGCTAGTGTGACTTATGGCAATTGTAACTTATGGCAAGTGTTACTTATGGCAAAGGTATTATGGCAAGTGTAATTATGGCATAAGTATTATGGCAAATGAAACTGAGCCATATCAGGGGTGTATAATCCCCCAACATCATTAAATAATTATTTAATTTAAGATCGTCTGATTGGGCGTTTTGTGGATTATAAATGATTAGGATAAAGCGTCTAAAAAAGGTCCATGAAAATAAATAAAGCTAGTACCTCATTGATCCTTTTATCATTTGTTCAAGAGCCATTAGCCGCATAGAGAACAGAATCTTTTCCTAGAGATAAATAAAAAACTTCCCACAACGTGTGAAATGTTATTTGTCAAATAATTTTGGGGTAGATCAGTGGTCCCACATCCAGTTATTTTGTCGATCGTTTCATTTCAAATTTTATCGTTAATTTTTTATTTAATCCTTTTATTTATTCTTCACTTTAGTTTCCATTGGCTTCTTTCAGAAGTCGGGGATATTGGGGAATAAGATAAATTTCTTTTGGTTTAGGAATTGCAAGCGGATCTGTTCCAGGTACTCCAGCACCTACTCCTTTCTCTCCTTCTCCTAGTGTAACACAGCATATACAGGTACTCCAGCACCTACTCCTTTCTCTCCTTCTCCTAGTGTTAAACAGCATAAACAGGTTATCCAGGATGTACGACTGTTCCAGAATATAAATATACTCCAGTTAGGATATAGAAAAAGGTACTGATGTATGTGAACGAAATAAATGTGTTATTTTTAGATTCCCTCAATTTGATTATGCGTCTGCTTCGTACAAATTACTTGAATTGATTTCTGATTGCAAAAATTTGATTTTGACCATTTAAAATCAATAATAATAGTTGCGGTCTGGGTTCTGAAAAAGGAATTACAGATTACTAGACGTATTCCTTTAAATGAATGAATAAATAAAACAGTCACCCTTTAATTGTGTTTTTTTGTAAATTTAAAGTAGTAATCTCGGTTTGTCTGTTTGGATGTCCGATCATAACTCAGGAACCGATTGGCCTAAAATTTTGATAGTGGACTTGGAAGATTTGGTTTTGAGATTTGAAGTAGAGTGAGTCGACTTTTAGAGGGAAAAATAGCTAAACTCGTGATTTACGACCAAGCGTGGGTAAACGGCGGGAGTAACTATGGGTACCCTGGGCAACGCTGGTTCCCAAGCTAGTTATGTATCCTGGAGTACTACTAGAAGATAATAAAACACATGAGGTATTCTTAGAAATACTTCCGAGTAAAGATTAATATTAACCCTTTCTCTCAGTACTCTTGAATCTGGATAATCAGTATTAACAGTATTTATTTCAGCCTGAGCAGATAGCAGCGTCCATAGCGAGGTTAAGAGAGGAAGGAATACTATCATTGTCCAGTACTCAACCAACTACACCTTCAACTACTCCGGCATATCCCCCATATCAAGGTATTTATATTTTCGATATTTACAAATGATAAAGAAACTGTCGACGTAAATTGAAGTGGGCTTCTATTTAAAAAATGATAAAGTTTCTATCTAAAAACTGAAAAATTTACAACTACCAGTTTCTTTAAGTTACTTGGGGATTTATATGCAAGGAAACAAGGAAGGAAATTCACACTGTCTCTTTTTGTTGTTTAAAAACGACGATATTTTGCTCATTGCTATTTAGAATGATTGAGGGTTTAAGGGAACCTTTGTGAATGGGACTTGTAGCTCTTTAATTGAAAGGCCATTTAAAAAATACGTCGAAAGTCTCTTTAATGACCGAGGTTTGTAAACACAATCCCAGCTTCAAATCAACATTGTAAACCAGTATCCTTCAAACTATTTCATATAACTATCTGCTAAATAAATCTTAGACATTTTTTTACTCGGCTCTGATGAAGAAATCCACGCTTTGTTTAATTGATAAGCCTCAAGTGTATGGGTTGATGAGGGATAATAGTATGACTTTGAATCCCTTAATCCTTGATGCTGTGTTGTAGGACAAGTACTAGTAAACAACCTGGGAATAATACCTGAGCATCTAGCTGAAGGTATCGCAGGACTAGACGCTAGAAGAGACGAGGGACTAGATTCAGGGAGTAATCCTTGTACTCCTATACCCACTCCTTTCTCTCCATCTCCAGCACAGCACTCAGTTCTAGCAGAACAGCTGGCAGCTGGTATTACCAGGCTGAAGGTAAAGTTTAAAGGGACTGATTCCAGACTATTTATCTTAATGGCATGATTGGGAATCTGCTTTTATATGGCGCTTACGTGCCCAAATACAACTCTTAAGTCTTTGTAATTTACAATATAACATTTCTATCCGAAATGATAATATTAATAATAGCATTACTAGCTGTCATTATATATTTATTTTAAACTAATCCAAAAAAATTTCATCTAAATTTAAATAATTTTGATTTGATTTACTTATGATACAAGAATGATTTAGAGTATAAACTAATTTTAAAAGCTTGCAATTGGTAGTCCTCCGAAAAAGCACTTCAAATCATTGTACATTCTTAATTCAGGTCGAGGAAGGAATGTCTAGTGGTGGTAGTACTGGAATGCCGGCCACACCGGCACCAACACCGTTTTCACATGGACCTGGTGGCGTTAGACCAGAGGATCTGGCGGCGGGAATATCCCGCCTCTCCGTCATTCAAGAGGCGACGGACTCAGCTCCGGCGGTGGCAATAAATGTGCTCGATGCATCTGGTGTATCGGCGACTGGAAGCAATCTATCTAATTATTTCGGTAGTCCCGCCGGAGATAATATATTTGACCAGCTAGCTACGCCGGCCCCGGGGAATGGAACTAGATCAAGAACAAATAGTAATTCTGTAGAGGGGTTCCATGACGTTACGATTGAGACTCCGGCCAAAAGATATATGAACAACTCCGGGTTAAGCAGTGCGTCTCCTGCACTCACCTTGCCCTGTCCAAATGTAGGCGGAGGTACCACGCCCCTTCAGTTTGGAATTCATACTCCTAATAGTTTCCCATCCACGCCTCTCAACCCCAACTCTGATCTTGTATCCAGTACTCCCACGGATCTCCTGTCTCCGGCTAGCACCATCTCGGCGTATGCTACCCCTGAAGCTCCGACTCCGGTTGTAGAGTCTAAAAATGATATCTCCATGTACATGGATAGTGCTGATACTACACCCCAGGCTACGCCTGTTAATAAACCTAGTTCAAACCTTGTTCTAGCTCCTCCTCCGTCTTCTGTCAACAGACCTGAATCTCCAGCATGTATTAAGTCCAGTAGTAACCAGGAACTGGATGCTTGGATACCTACTCCTGCTTGTAATGAGGTGCTGGATAGTATGGCAACCACTCCTGGTACCTACTACCCCACCAGGGACCAACTGACCTGTCCTGGTGTTTCCCCGGGTAGTGAACAGGGAGACCCGGTTAGAGACCTTGTGGCGAAGTACCAGGGCGAAGGAGAGGCGTGTAAAAGGCGGATTCTTGCGGCCGATGGTGTAACTACAGATACACGAGGACTCCAGCAGTTGATTGCGGCCGGGAACTACAGAGCGGCAATCAACCTGACCGCTCAGCTACTAGAGATGTATGGTCAGGGTAAGGGTAAAGTAGGTCAACTATCTAAACATTCTCCGACTAGTTTACAAATCTGGTTCACAAGATTAGCTCTCCTGGTCAAACTTAAGCTTTTCACCGTAGCAGAGTCGGAGGTCAGTCAGTTCGGCGACCTGGATAAACCAGATCTGTTCTACCAGTACTATACAGAGCTTTACGGAGGTCGGCGAGGAAGTATGGTTCCATGGAGTCTAAGATTACTTGCTGCTCAAATACCAGGTCTCAACGGTAAACCGATACAGAGCTTCAACAAACTCTTTACCCTTCTCTTTTCTGTGAGAGAGATATTAAAGAACCTGGAGAAGGGAATGACCGCGGACGGTAATGTTTGGTTGGACGTGGATGAAGAAGAGAAAAAAAGAGCCGAAGAATGCTGGGCGGAGAGAGAACGACAAGTTCTCTATTCTCTCATTAACAATTCTATACTAAGCGCTGATTATGATTCCGCGATCAAATGTCTGGATCTTTTACTTCCGGTTGAGAAGGTGGAGCGTAAGGGTGCTCTTCATGCTGCCTATGGACGATTATATCTCCAGTTAGGAAATATCTCGAAAGCGGACGAATGTTTTGTTGAAGCGAGTAAACTGCGGGATAATTCAAACCCTCAGGATCAGTTAGAGGGGTATCTGGACTCAGCCTTCCTTGCAATAGGTAAACTTTCATTAACCTAGCTCACAACAGGATTTTTCTGATTCAATTCCTAAAGAATGGAGTTATGATTTAGGATGAATGTGACAAATGCATTTAGTTATAAAAATTAAACCACTTAGAAATAGGAATGTAACTCTGAAATCTGAAGCACAAAAATGTTAGTTTAATAGTCAGAGATTTGACTTGATAATAATAAATACATGTAAAGTTGAATCAAATGCAATCAAATTGATATAAATGGATGTTTGTGCTAGGTCAAGGTTTGTTTGAATCAGCCCTTGAGAGATTCCAGAGTGCTCTAGTTCTATCCAGTGGAAAGCAGGATAGGATTATTCGGAACAATATCTCCGTATGCCTTCTATACCTGGGTAGGTTGAAGGAGGGACTGGAGATATTAGAGAACTCGATAACCTCTGACACTGCTAATATTCAGGTAAAATAAAATAATAAGAATTATAATAGTATGCAGGTATTAGTCGATTCTCAATCATTGATGCATTTTAATTTCAGCATTTTTTTTACTGATAGCCTCAGGAGTAAAACAGCTTAAATCAATTTTATTTGATATTACTGGGTTGTTAAAAAGGGCAAAAGTTTAGATTGAAACTCTAATAACTATTCCTCTCTACAATTCTGTGGAAAAGGAATTGGGGTTTTGCCACAAACTCAAATTTTTTTATCCCTATATTTTTGCAATCTCATGGTGTAAGGCTTGATATTTGATGCTTATATTGTTTGATTTTATAGAATTCATATTTTGACATTGGGTTGCAAAGATATAGGATTGGAAAATCAGAGTTTGTTGCAAAAACTGAATTTCTTTTTTCACGTTTTCTCGAATTGCAGAATTATCTTGGAAATTTAGAACTGGAAACTTTTCTTATTTTGGATTTATATTTAATCCTCCTGTGCCCTAGTGGTCCCTTGGTACTATTCTCCTTTAACTTATTAAACAAAATTCCAATAATATCCTTGAAATTTTACTTAGATCCAACTTATTTTGTATTCTAGGGGAACCCTATTCTAAACCTATGTACCCTGTATGAGCTAGAGTCTAGCTATGCTTTACAGAAGAAAATTGGAATGCTAGGTAAGAGTAAAGAAAGTGAAAAAGTAGTCTTGAAAATCCTTATTTTCTCTTAAGAATCCCCAAGGCTAAATGCATCCGGTTTATGCATTTTATTTTTCGTTTTTTTTCGAACCGACTGCTTTTTTAACGAGAACTAGATGAAAACGCTGAAAAAAATATTTCGAGTTTAACCCAGAACTTTATGAAATGTCATTTTTCTAAACCTACTGATAATGAATGAAATGCTACAGATATTTAGTTTTTTAATTGAATTTAAAACTGAGGCTGCATATTTTATAGCTATTCATTTAGTTTTACAAATACTGAGATTTAGATACAGGGTGTCCCAAAAAACATGGGAATTCAGTGACGAATTCGATATCGTCTTTGNGAAGCGTGGAATAAACGACGAGAAATATTGAACTTTATTCGTTCTTTTATTCTTTTTATCTATTTGAATTTATTTGAATTTATTTCGGTTATATTTTATTATATTTTATTATATTTTATTATATATTATTTTGACTTCTGAGGATCGTGAAACATTATTTTTAGTAAAATTCTTTTTGAATAAAATGTGTAGTTTAAAATCTGAAATATTTATAATTATATATAATATATATATCTCCGGCTGAGAGAGATAAAAGTACAATCTAATTAAATTATTATTTTCAGGATTAGTTGCTATTCATTCTCCAGACTCGTTCCCTACATCATCCCTCAAACTATAATTTTCACATCATCTTGATTTTGATTAATCTGCATTGTTATAGTTCTACAGTTAAACGCAGAATTTTTAAAATATCGGCTTGACATTTTTTCAATGGGTCTTATACTATTATACTATTATACCTAAACATGAAACATGCGGGAATATTTTTAAAAAGCTCCATATATATATTTAACTAAAAAACTAAATATCTGCATCATTTCATTATCAATAGGTTTAAAAATCGAAATTTTGTAAATTCTTTCGATCCCTCCGAAGTTCTGGGTTATAAACTGTAGAAAGCTTTTTATTTTAACACAAGGAATATTTAGAAGCCCTTGATAGTTTGTCTAGTTCGTGTATTGGCCCAGTGCTCCAGTAACAAGAGTTACCGATCTAAAACAACAAAGTCCTATTTCATATTTATTCACTTCAAACACTGAGCACTCAGAGCAATTTCGGGGATAACAGATGTTGGAATTATAAATATAAAATCAACCCTGGGCAACGCTTGGCATTACTGCTTGTATCTTCCATAAGCTTACTAAAGATACCTGAAACTATCTTAACTAGAATGCCGAGCCAAAAACCTCAGATTGCTGTAAGTGTACAGTGTATATAATCTGTTCACTTGTGTATTTTTTAGGTGATTTTTCGATAAATAGTGAATGAAATAATTTAAATCCATCAAAGTTAGATTTGGCATTTTCCCTTAAATCGGAAATGTGCTGGCAGTCAATATTGTTTCACCTTTGTTTTTTTTAGAAGCCGCCTGAACATAAGTGTCAGAAGAGTTAGAACTGAACCTTAACGCAACGGGAAATTGTCAAATGCTAAACAAAATATTATCTTGTATTTATTCAATGTTTTCTTCTGATTGTGATAGAATAAAATATAATGGAATTATCTATTTATTTATCGTAGACCTTTTGTGATAAAATGTACATTTTCTTTCCCCTATATACGTAATCAATGAAAATAAAGATTTGTATTTATTAGATGAAATTAAAATGGCGGAACGATGGCGCTGGTTGGGTTTGGTTTGATATTATCACGAGTTGTTTCGTCTCTTCGTTTCTTCACTCTCTCTCTCTGTTTCTCTCCTCTTTTTTACCAACTCAGCAACAATCTATTTCTTCCAGGAACGAAAAATGAAGTAAATATCAAGGATCCCAAACTGCTTTACTTGAGAGAACGATTAATCAATTTTATATTATAGGGTGTCTTTTTATAAATTCTGTAGTTTTAGATTTTACCTGTTTTTCCTTTCAGATGCGGTTCAGAATTGAGGCCCTAGAATCAACTGCTGGGTTTTATCAAAAGACACCCCGTAAATACGATTATATTACTTTTCACAAAGCTAGTCACAAAGTATTCTACTTTAAAGACGACCTCAACCTCTTTGCAGTTTACAGTTGCGAGGAATCGATCATGAATATTAGGAAACAGACCGGGTAAACTCCGTAGTCTTCTCTAAAGTCTAATCCTTTGTAGGTAACCCTGTTTATAATGATGTGCTTAACTTGATAGCTACAGTGTTATCAACAAACCGAGGTTTTTGTTTTATTTCTAATTGCAAGTAACTCTTACGTTTTTATTCTTCTCAAAACTGTAATAGCATTCTTTGTAACAATATTTCCTTGGGTTATTTAATATGACATAGATAAAAAGCAGGGTCAAATCTATTTTTTCATTTAGTTTGAGGTTAAATTTTGAAACCTTAAGCACCTTTTATAGTAATTGATTTTTTAAAGAAATGTCTTGGATATGAATTATAATCATCATCATTTAATTTATTAAGTGAATATTATTATATGTATATATTATTATATTATACTTTATTATATCAAATTCACATCTTTTATCATAAAAATATTTTTTTCATGGTTGGATTCTGTGCATGATGGGTCAAATTTTACTTAATTAAATTTTGGATATTTACATTTATTTTTCATATATTTTACTCACGAAATATAAGTCAATACAATATATTGGCTTTATGTGTAGGCCTGTCATTTTCCAACACCAAAAGTGAATGAATATGTAAACTTGTGGGCGTGGGGTTAAGCTTTTCTCTAAACCCAAAAAGTAAATTTTTTTTTGTTTGTTTCATCCGTTTTTGAACATTAGGGAGTTTAGCTTTCAGAAGGCTCCATAAAAATCCGGGAATTCTCACTTGTTCGAAAATGTTATTCTTTACAATTTTGCGTTTATAAAGTTGAGCATACTGTCGACTAGCTCTGGGAGAAGATATACGCCTAAACGGAGCAAAGCCAATTGTTCCTTAATCCTTGGTGAACGATTCATGTTTATATCTTTTGTTGTGCCTAGTGTAATAAAAGAATTATTTTAAGAATTCAACTTTGAAATCTGTAATTTTTTTCCAAACCCCCTGAATATTTAAAATAGCACATAAAGCGATGTCCAGATCTAACTAAGAAAGTCATTTTTGGGGGTTTGAAGAACATTCTGGATTCTGATAGTTTCTCCGATATCCTTGAGTTTCTCTCTCCTGTTCCTTCCCTGCTTCCTGGTTGGAACTCTGCTCCGGATCCTGCTCTGTGCCACCAGGAACCAGACCAGGACCTGGAACTCTCTCAACTTAGACGATAGAACAGACAATGCAGAGAACAGGTTATAACAAAACTTGTGTAACCATGATCTTCTGTAAACTTGCAGTACCTTGTACATATGATTGATTTAATGTTGTAAAACTTGAACATAATGACAGTATTCAGTTGAAACTGCGTTTCAACTGAATACTTAACATGATTAGCTTAAATCATGCATCATACCTAAATTACGGTATAAAACATGTGAGAAGATAGCTTACCTGCGTTATATCTATGCTCTCTAAACTTTAGCTGTGGGATAAATACGTAATACAATGATCTTGATCATGTGATAACAATATCATGGTAGGAATTGTAACTTCATCCATTCCTGTTAACTTTGTAGGATTATAGCCGTGTGGAGTGTGTCCAGAGATGGAATTTAAAGAATTTGAGCCGCGGTTTAAATCTGTCAAAACCCGGTTTAAATTAAGGGCCGGCTTAAATCTTGAAACATTTTTAAGTGGAACCAACCATATTTAAGCCGCGGATTAAATTAAAACCGCCGCTCAAATTCTTTAAATTCGGCCACTGGTTGAGGCATTGATCAATTGATTACTATTGTCGTTATTGACATTGATAGCTGATAAGATTGCGCCCTGTGTATTGGCGTTGATTAATCATGGGATTGTAACCATGTGGATCGTGTCCTGTTTGAGACATTGATCAATTGATTGCTAGTGTCTGTATTGACATTGATAGCTAACAAGATTGCGCCTCATGTAGTGGCGTTGATAGTTAGTTGATAGATAGCGTCAGTCATGGGAGTGTAGCCGTGTGGAGTGTGTCCCTGTGTGACATTAGAACATTGGATTATCCCTATCATTTGGGATCGATATATATGTATGAAGCATGTTGTTAGCTACGCTTGAGTCCCTGTGTGGCGTTTAGAGCCTGGGATTCTGTCCTGGTAGAACACTGTATTACAGTAGCTGGATTTTAATAGCTACATTTGTGTCCCTGTGTTGCATTTAGAGCCCATGGGATTCAGTCTGGTTAAGTTGGATAGCGGTTGGATTGTACCTGGATAGTACGTTTCGAGACCTTGTTATGGAGTAGGTGTTCACTTCAAAAGTGGTAGCAGCGGTGTGAATAAAGGAACCCAGAGTAAAGACTCCAAGGAACAATGAAGTAACAAGTTGTGAACAGAGTAAACAGAATATTACAATGGACAGTTTTAAATTGTACCATAGAGGACACAGTGAAGTTCCAGACATCAGAATACCAAACATGAAGGAAACTGGAACAGAGGGTGGAAACCTTCCATATACAAACAATTGCAAGCCCTGAGGCAGAGATTGGAACAAGAAATTCAATACAAGAAACTGCAAGATAGGATGAAGGAAGCGAAACTAGAATTAAGAGAAGAAAGAAAGATCCAAGAGTAAGAACAATGTTGGAGCAAAACAAAAAGATGGATGAATCACAACAATGTATGGAAGAACTCCAGAAATAGTGGGATCAGAAGAAGCAAACGAGGATACATATGATGAGATGTGTGATATCGAAAATAGTACAAGAGAAAGAGTACAAGACTTCATTGAAAGAGCTCCCAAATATGATGGAAATCCGGAGACAATGTTTGAATGGTGAAATGGAAACTCATTTACTTAACGACGGCTGGGAAACAATCCTAGATAAAGATATAAGAAGGATGATAGTAGCCAGTATCACGGGAGCAGCTAGAAAGAGATAATACCGTTTTTTCAACTTGGAGCAGCATTTGAGCAATGTGAAATAGGACAGTTCTTTGAAGAAATGATAAGGAGATTCTCACAACAGAAATATAATGAAAGCAAGAGACAAGAATTCTTAACTGAGAAGCAAAGAGAAGAGGAGGAGACCAGAAAAGCCCAAGCAAACAAGATGAAGTGGGAACAGGAATACCTGAGCAGGAAACAGGAAAGTGGTGAAGATACCAAAGAATATTATGCTGCCAAAGAAGAGTTGTGTTTACAAGCTTATGATCCAATCAAGAGGAGCCTGGATAAATTTAAGGACAACATGCTCAAGGGATTGTATGATGCAGAATTGAAGGAAGCATGCCTGTTTTTTATGGCTAAGGAACCAAAACACTAAGGCGATATTCATGCAATATTAGACCGAGGTGTCCCACAAAACATCACAGTTGGTGGATAGTTTTGAATTTCTTCTTCCACAATATTATTTCTTCATAAAAATGTTTAACTCATATATATTTTACTGTGAAATGAATTGTATAAGATAATTGTTATATAAAAAAGTTATTATATTCTCTTTAGTATTAAACAACAAGAATAGTTTACAAAGAGCACATTTTACCTTAAAGAAATTGTTGATTTATTTGTTAGTTTGTGGTTTTTCAATTTTTTAATAATGCAATGTTTTTGCAGGTGAGTTGGCCCAGACCAGACCATGTCCACTCCAGATCTTGTGTCAACTACTCATCGAAGTGATTTTTATTGTTAATGACTTTAGTCTTTCACTTTTTAATTATTATTTTTTAGTGTTTATTTTTATTTTTATTTGTTATTTTTCATATACTATGAATTTTCACGTTCTTTAAAAATTTAATATTCCGAAGTAAACCAGGATTAGATTGATTAGTTTTTTACAATTAATTTATCCCAAGAAAAACTAGGATGGCCATTTTAGGTATTAATATCTGGTATTTAACAGTTGTGAAATCTAGAAAATCCTGGAAAATTGAGTTTATATTGAATTACTATGGGTTTGTGTCATCGATGCTGGATTGGTAGATTCGTGGAACATTCTAAGAGAAATCTTAGATGAACGATGGTTGGGAGACCTAAGCCCCAAGTTTCCAGAAGAAATTCTGCGCCTATACATTTTTCGAAATGTGTACTAATAACATACAAAGAATAGTCATAATTATTACCAGACACAAATACCAACCGATATTTCGCTTTTTAAGAATTTGTTTAGATTTTTGGAAATCTAGGGAATTTTTTCAAGGTTAAATTAAACACCTAAACAAAAAAGGCATTATACACCTGATTTTACCTGAATTAATTTTATAATTAAACCGATGAATAAACAAATAACTTGATTACTTGCCTATTACACTTTATTTTCTAGTCTTTATATATTTGCAACATGAAGACATTAAGCTTTGATATTAAAAACTTTGAATTCGGCTTGATCAAATATTCAAAATTTGAACTTTTAAAATTTCACATCAAACCATCAGGTTGCAAATATGTAGGGATTTATAAAAAATTAGTTTGCAGTTTGCAGCGAGTATTCAGTTCCTTTGTTGCTAGATTGGATGAAGGGCGAATATCTGTTGGAACTACCAATGTAATGCTCGGACTGGAAGTCTGGTGTAGATGGCAGAATATCAGGAAATTATCATCGTCATTGTCCGTTCGTGAAAACCCAATATTTCTTCGGTTTGTAAAATAAAAATCACTGCAGTACGCACTGAGAGCTTAGTTTAGGGTACAATAATCTCTCACCAAAAAAAGTACCTTCGTCGAATCAAATTTACATTTAGAACTGCATTCAAGTAATGATGATGGAGACATGCTTGATGTTCTTTCTTCAATTTGAGATCTGTGTTTAGCGCTAATGGCAATTAAAATGCCACTCAGAAAATCGTTAGTAAGTTTTTAAGATAAAATGTATATGTATATTTCTAATTTTCCTTTTGTTATTGACGTCAAATGTCTAGGGTTTATCGAAATTGAAAAATCGAAATTTTAAGGCAGATTTTTTATTAATTCCGACCATACTTATCCGTCTCTAAGATCAATTAAGATCCCGCCAAAAAATCGAGCCCGATCGTTTTTACCGTTTTTAACATTAATTGGATAAAAACAAACAACCAAGCAAAGTTTATATGTAAATGATACAATACAAATGGTAGTCAATAAAAAGAGAGATTGCATTTAAGAAACCAACAAAGAAAATAAGAGAGGTTACTGTAAATAATAAGTTTAATAGTGATTGTTAATAATGGGACGGGTTTCCTTGAATTTTCCTATGAAATCAAGCAGAAAAATATCAATTATTATCTTTTATTAACTATTTTACCAATGATTTATTTGTTCTAAGAATTGACGTTCTAAAAAAGGAACATGTTACTCTAAATGGTTTAGTTTTATGAACAGCTAGGTTTACGGGCCCCCAAATTTTTTGTATTAATTTAAGTTATTTTATTTCACTTTAACTGAAACCTATTTGTTCTGTTCTTCGTAGAATATAAACAAAATAACAATTGTAAGATTTTACAGGTTTTTCATCGGGAGATTTTCTGAGGCACTTTTTTAAGGGGAGTGTTCGCGAAAAATGAAAGGGGGGATTGGCTTAATGCGATAAAAAAAGCGCTTTTGATCGATACTAATCTTACTTCTATCTGTTGCGTCTATAAGGAGGAAATTGTTAAAGACGTCTCATACCGAATAACATACAAATGAGAAAATTGCAACATACGACTTAGACCGTAAAAAAATCAATTTAATTTCAAACAAATCATTCAGATATTACAACCTATAGTCATCGATTATCTTTCGCCACATTTGTATATAGTTTATATTTTATAATATTTTATATTTTATAATATTTTTAATTAATTTGTTTGTTTCTCTTGTCGCTTGCGCAACTATCTGAGAATGCCGCACACCACTCACAATTTTCGAAATCCGTTGAAAACGTTTTCTAAAAAAATAAAATATTATAAAATATAAACTATATACAAATGTGGCGAATATTAATAGCTTTCTAATATTTTAAATATTAAAATGTACAATGTACATGATGCTAATATTGATTCAGTGGAGTATATTCAAGATTACAGAAGGTTGTTAAAGCAATAGGAAATAGATATACATATTAAAATTCAATTTAAATATTAAAATTTAATTTAAATATTAAAATTTAATTTAAATATTAAAATTTAATTTAAATATTAAAATTTAATTTGAATTTTAACAGATAATTTAAATATTAAAAAAGGTTAGCTTGAAAATTTACTACTTTTTGAAGAAAATTGTTGAAAGAAAATGCTGAAGTGTTCTAGTCATACCAACAATATTAAAGGACTATTCAGAGATTCAGACACAACTTCAATTGACTCTCAATTTATTGAAAGACATGTCCGATTCACAACCTTTATTTTTTGTCTGATAAATAATGGATGGAAAAGGAACCGAGTTCTTGCTACAAACTTAAATCTTCGCATCTTGATGAGGTAAACCTTTGATATTTCAAACTTAGACTATTTGATCTTTCAAAATTCATTGTTTAAAATATCAAAGGTCTACAACACCAGGTTGCAAAGATATGAAGATTTCAAAACAAGAGTTTGTTGCAAGAACTCAGTTCCTTTATTTTATTTTTTTTTGAAAATCGATTCTTTTCCATTATGGTCTCTTTATTAAAATTTCTACTTCATGAACATTAAGAGGATTCTTCTTCACTATTAACAAAATAAAGGCCTAAAATGTGCCTTTGTGAATTGGTCATGGTACTCCTTAAATTAAGTGGCACAACCTACAGTTCCTTTATGTATTGACCTTGTCTTGAGAAAAATATGTATCTGGTTGAAGATGATCAGAGTGGTGAATATGAAGAGAACCTGAAAGAGATCTCAACGGAGAATCTGGAGAAACAGGAAACCATCAGAAATAATTTCCCTAGAATGGACATCATTTGTTTTCAGGTCTATTCAAGCATAATTGGAGTTCAGAGACGACTGTACAGAATTTATACTGACTGTTTTTTTACGGTCTTACCATTTGTGGATAATCCCGCATATTAAGATCATGGAATTGTGTCTTTTCATAAACTCTGATGGTCGTGGACCTTTGATATTTCTAACTATAAATTCTGTTGGACCTAATAATTTAAGTTTAAATTATCGAAGGTTCATACCATCAGGTTGCAAAGATTAGTAACAAGGAAATTTGAGTTTGTGGCAAGGACTCAATTCCTTTCCTCCTGGTACAATTTATCAGTCAACACCTTTTTGATCTGAAAAAAAACAAAACATTTTTTTAGGAGGTTCATGAGAGGATATTTGCTCTGATCCTGATCCTACTCCTGAGGAATAGATATTCAAATTTTATCTTTGATATCGGAGAGAACTCTTGGAATATTAACAGGCACATTTTTATAATATCTTCATATTTTTAAGCTTTGGAAATTAGATTTTAAAAATAACAAACAATAAGATATGATCAAAACGTACAAGGTTATCTACAACTGTACGGAATTTTTTCAGTCTTTTTTCTTACATTTATATTTACATGAAGTTGTAAACTTATTTCCATCTTTTACTTTTATTAATCTCATTAAAGAAGGTTACGTTGATCCTCCAGATTAGTATATTTTTTAAATGTGGCAGGTCCTCTTAAAGTCTTATTTAACGTATGATTAACATTTACATACAGTGTGCTTCACTAAACATGATATTTTCAAGTACAATATAATATTGAATATGCATTATGCAGAAAGTGATTAAGTTAGATATCAATGACTAAAACTGTCCGTACAGAAAACTTAATAATTAGAAATACAGTGTCCGAATTCAATGAATTTGATCCGCGTCTTAAATCCGCTAAAAACTGGTTTCAATTAAACGCCGGTTTTATATCTTGAAACATTGAATACAATTTTAAGTGGAACCAAACATATTTAAGCCGCGACTTAAATTTAAGCCACCGCTCAAATTCTTAAAATTCGGCTTATTGCTTTATTTTACATGTTTTTTTTACCAAGAAGTAGATGCATATAATATTTGATCGTCTTTATATGGAATGTATTTGGGATACCCTGTCTAATGAAACATACTGTTCAGGTTTATGATGAGTTCTGGATTGTTTGTTGCTTCTAAATATCCAGTTTTAGATGCAGAATTCTTCCCATTCACTCAGGTATTTATGCTATTAAAAAAAATCACAAGTTGTAAATCGTTTTTTGCATATGTTTTCTCTCGTGATCAAAATTTGGCATATTTTTGTAATGTTTTTTAGAAATATTCTTACTGTACATTTGCATTTCTAACACTATGCTAACACTATTTTGATCCTAATAGAAAATTTATGGAAAAAACTAACCAAAAACGAACATGTTAAAATGTCTAAGTGGCCGGATGATGTTTCTTTTTTTTGGAAAAAAAAATATTGCAAAATTTAATAAAAGCAAACTTTAACAGAATTACACTTTTTAATTGTTGGATGGTGTTTTTTTTATAAATTAAAGACTAAAAAATTATTAACAACACTTACTGGACATTTATCGATCAGCTGTGCTGTAGAAATCCGTTAAGCCACTCTCCTGAAAAGAAAGGACAACTGTTGGTTTCAGCTTAATGTCAAATAAAATACAAAGTATTAAAATGTTTGGTTACACGTTACGAGAAATTAAAAACATTTTCTTCCTTCTCAATATCTCTTCAAAAAGAGGAGTTATGATTAAAAACACAAGTTTTTTAACACATCATAGTATAATGTAAACAAACTCTATTACCCTTCGATCACTTGTTCCTTACTTACATGATAATATAGTCTATCAAAGATAGATTGCATATAAATATACCTCTAAAGTTTATTTTGATTTAAAGTAATGGAGGGTTTTTAACAATTTCTTATGTTTTTTTCTGGTTATTTTTAATAAATACAGTACTTTATTGCTTATTTATTTTTATCTCAGAAGAAAAGCTGGCAGTCGTATATAAGCTACGGAGTTCTGGTATTTAAGGTTGATCTAGGGAATAACAGGGTGGGGATTATATCAAACCTTCACACTGTTGCATACCAGGTATTAATTCAAGATGCTTAATAAATTAGGAAATATAATAAGGGCCCTATTTGGTATATATTTTAAACCCTTATTCATTTACCCCCTTTGTTGGATAAAATTAACTTAAATTTTAAAGCTTTTAATTGGAAGTTCAGTGTTTTTTCGTTGAGTACCTATTTTTTACATTCGTCTCACGAATTGCAGTAAATTTTGTTTTTAAACAAAGATTCGGGGGTTCACGATATATCTTTCTTTGAATGCAGTGAACCTTTAAGGCCTTTAATTAATTTATTTAAGATTATGTATTTTCATACAAATACAAACGTAATTTTCCATTTTGAATTTTACTTAACTTCTTTTTTTCTGTCAGGGTAAAGACGACCTTCTTTCTCCTGCCCTGGACGAATTACATAATGCAATGGCTAGATTCAAGGCCCGGATCAAGGACGGGACGGAGAGGATTGTGTTTGAATGTATTGCAGGAGATTTCAACTTTGATAATATGTCTCCGTCCGAGATAAAATATAGTAAACATCCTGTCTTTCAACAATATAATGATGTATGCATCAAAAAACCAGGTACTAGTAATAGTAATTGTAATAGTAATAGCAATAGCAATTACTATTACTATAACTATTACTATAACTTTAACTGTAACTATAAACTATAACTTTAACTATTCCTGTTACTATTACAATTCCTTTTGTTATTGTTATTGTTATTGTTATTGTTATTATTTGCAGGTGTAGATCATGCCTGGAGTATTGGAACGGAACTACGTCAGCTTGAGATTGGTAAACCGGAAGTATCTACCCCGGAGCAGTTTAGAAACATTTTATGTGATGATCTACGGAGGTAAGAATTTTTCTAGCCGCAGCGCTCAACCCCCCCCCCCACACACACACACACACGCTAGGTAGAATCAACCTTTGCAAGAAAATCACAAAAGAGAAATTCCAGATTTCAATTTTATTCATTTTCCCCATCCTTGATATCCTTGTCAATGGTTTTTTGATTTGCTTCCATTTTCTGACTCAAGTTTATTTTCTTAATGAATCAAAATAACATGGTAGATATAGTGACGTGTGGTGACTATAGCTGCCCCTCTTAAACCTTCACTAAACCTTGTCATGCAAAACAGTTTCTAAACCATTTATTTAGTTCTATTTTAATCATGGAAAAACCCATACTAGGCAATAATTTCCTCTGTCAATGCAATGATGAAGAGCCCTTTATGAGAGTGAATTTTAAAGTTTTAAGTGGAATGGGTTTGTTTTGAGAAAAAAGATGAATCCATTGCTAAACAATTATATTAATAATATATTTAATTGATAATAATATTATTTATAATATACTTATACGATATTATATCCCTGATTAGTTATCAAGTATTATATTTAGACGATATTATATCCCTGATTAGTTATCAAGTATTATATTTAGACGATATTATATCCCTGATTAGTTATCAAATATTATATTTTAAACTATATTATATCCTTGATCAGTTATCTAGTATTATATTTAGGCCATATTATATCCTTGATCAGTTATCAAGTATTATATTTAGAGGATATTATGTCCCTGATTAGTTATCAAGTATTATATTTAGACGATATTATATTCCTGATTAGTTATCAAGTATTATATTTAGACGATATTATATTCTTGATCAGTTATGAAGTATTATATTTAGACGATATTATATCCTTGATGCTGATGTTCAAGAACAGAATTTTGATCTCATGACAATATCTCCCAGGTATGTTTTACAGTGAGACCCAAAAATCTCCAGAAAAGAAAAACGACTGTTAAACTGAAATTATGATTTTGAATAATTCCATAACATAAAACAGCAATTGTGCAGTGTACACAGACCCATTTTATTCAGTAAATTGATTTTTAAGCAACCAGCAAGCTAAAAATATTTGCTTTTGAACAATTAACTCACATACAAATATGATTGCTTTCTATTTAACAACTGTTAAGTCTCTCTGAAGTTCCATCTTATCTTTTGTCAAATTAAGTTTCAATAAGTTTCTTTGATATTAAAAAGTTTTAAAAATTAGCATGACTTTGGTATATTTCATAATTCGTTGCATTGAAATCTAATCTTTTTTATTGTTTAGGAAAGGAAAAAACGGAGTATGTGTTTGTCCAGAGGGTGGTAGACGGAGAATAGATAGAATACTCATTAATAAACAACTAGCAACTATTAGGTATCCTCTATACTAGTTAGGAGGAGGGGGAGGGGAGGGGGTAGACGGAGAATAGATAGAATACTCATTAATGAACATNAGCACGGTATATGGGGGTAGACGGAGAATAGATAGAATACTCTTAAAGATATTAATCCACCATTTATATTTTTCAGGTCGAAAATAAACAATTAATCCAATTGAATGTGTTTTTCCAGGGGAGTTTGCTTTTGTTCCTGTTTAGTAGGAATAACCGACCATGTTCCACTAGTCGTCACAGCTGCCTTGTTATAAGCACTTCTGTTATGCACCATGCATAACCAAGGTGTTGCATCTGCATTTTATGCGTTTAGAAATATTGTGATACACCATTTAATTTAAAAAAACACTGCATTTAGAAAAATTAATATGAATTCATTGCTATGAATCTAGAGCAAATGTTATAATACCATAATGTCATGTATAAATTAAACTATAATTCTACCCCGGTGTTGAATTTAGAACGATAAATATGAATCATTTAGATAAAATTAAAACCAATGTGAAGTATCTAGATCAATATGAACGAAACTGTTGTGTATAACAATTGCTATAATAACATCATTTATAGCTTTATGAAAAATTATTACAAATCATTGTCATACAATTAAACATTGTTATGTAACTAGCCAGCTTTAGTTAATCAGTCAGAAAAAATATTATATAACAAAATTATATGCATTTATTAAAATCGTTTTGAAAGGAACTGAGTTCTTGCCACAAACTCTAACTTTCTAATCCCTTTATCTTCTCAACCTGATGGTATACACAAACTTTAATTATTTGATCTAAGAAAAAAGTTAACAGTTCGAAATATCAAAGAACCTCGACATTAACATGCAAAGATATTTGGATTAGAAAATCAAAGTTGCAAAAATTTAGTTCCTTAAATCAATTTTTATGCTTATTTAAACTATTACCATCCTCCAACCCAATAAACTCCTTGTTTTTTATTTTTATATTTTTCTGCTTTATAATTTTGTTTAAGCTCTAGAGATTTGGCAATCAGAGATATAAACCAATGAGAGACCAATTAATCTCTATGCGAGTTAAAGAGAGTGTTCGCGAAAAATTAAGGAGGGTATAGGCTTACGGCGAAAAATAAGCGCTTTTGAATAATTTGATTACTACTAATCTCACATCTATCTGTTGCGTCTATCAGGAGAACATTCTGAAAAACGACTCACACCGAAGAACGTAGCGTCCATACAAATTCAGAAAGTTGCAACATTCAACTCGGATCGTAAAAAACTCAATTTAATTTCAAACAAATCATTTAGATATTACAACCAATAATCATTGATAATTTTTCGACGCATTCGTATATAGTTTATATTTCATAATATTTTTTTTATCTTTTATGATCTGATTTTTTTATAATGAAGATGACATTTTCATATTTCCCAGGATTGTTCGAAAATCCAGCGCCAGCGAAATATTATTTTAAAAAACAAAATAAAAAAATATGTAATATTAACTATATACGAATGCGTCGAAAAACAATCGATTACTATTGGTTGTAATAACTGAATGATTTCTTTGGAATTAAATTGAGTTTACGATCCGAGTTGAATGTTGCAACTTTCTGAATTTGTATATACGCTATAACGTTCTTCGGTGTGAGTCGTTTTTAACAATTTTCTCTTTATAGACGCAACAGATAGAAGTAAGATTATTTTTCGTGGATAACATTTTTTATCAAACAAGCTCTTGGCACGGTCGTAATTTTTTGCTAATGCAAATTTTTACATATTCCTTTCAATAAAGCTAGGTTCTGATGCTAAGGAATTGAGTCTTTTCCACAAACTCCGATTTTATAATCCATATGTCTTTGTAATCTAATGGTGTAAGCCCTTGATATTTCAAACTAAAATTATTTTATGTGACAAAATTCACAGTTTGAAATACCTAAGGTTGTATAATAAGGTAGCTTACTCTCGATGCGCTCCAATGTTAAAACCTAGCCTCACTCTAGCCTCTTAAATCAGTTACGTCATATTAGATTTTTATCTATCTATCTGAGAAGAACTAATTAATATGTAACCACGGAAATATTTCCTTTTCTCATACTAATGCGTGAAGAAAAAACTACAGAAGCTACAAGATTAAAAACTACAGAAGCTACAAGATTAAAAACTACAGAAGCTACAAGATTAAAAACTACAGAAGCTACAAGATTAAAAACTACAGAAGCTACAAGATTAAAAACTACAGAAGCTACAAGATTAAAAACTACAGAAGCTACAAGATTAAAAAGTCGAGCCAGTAGTATCTCTTTCTTCTCTAGTTCGGGTTGACAATCATGTTTGTTGCCAATAAACATTACTATTTGTAAAAATATAAAATCGAAAAAATATTTTTAGATATCTAGTGATATATATATTTGCAATATTTTATATGAACAAATGATTTTAAATAGAAGTTAAAGGACCGTAAATATTGATATATCCAAAATTACCTCGTCCAGTGCATTCTCATGCCCTTATAGTACTATTTAATTAGTTGTTTAGCACGGTATATAGAAGAACTTGACTTCCTGACGTGCTATTTAACTAGTTATTCAGCACGGTATATAGAAGAACTTGACTTCCTGACGTGCTATTCAACTAGTTGTTTAGCACGTTTTAGAAAAGAACTTGGCTTCCTGACGTGCTATTCAACTAGTTGTTTAGCACGGTTTATAGAAGAACTTGGCTTCCTGACGTGCTATTTAAATAGTTGTTCAGCACCTTTTAAAAAAGATCTTAGGTTTCTGACGTGCTATTTAATTAGTTGTTCAGCATGTTTTAAAAAAGAATTTAGTTAGTCAGTTATTTGCGTGTTGCTGAAGAAATAGCGACGAAATATTAAGGTTTTTTAATTTGGAGCTTTTATTTTAGTCATATTTGGAAAACTTTAATCTGGAATTATGATAAGAGTAAAAAAGGAATGAAAATAACGGATACGAAATATAAAAGCTTTTATTTAAAATATGTGATTTTCTTAAAATATTAATATTCTTTAATCCTCTGTTTTACTAGAAAAAAATAGAGTGAGGTATAAAGGAGAATTAAGAAAGGTCTAGGAAATTACTTTAATATACAAGATTGATATCTGCTAACGTAAAAACCTCTCATTCATCTGCTAGTCGTATTGGGGTAAAGTCCTCCACGAGAGGACAAAACTTAAAGTCATATATTATATTTCAAAAAACTTTAGCACAGGGATTAACTTGGATTTAAAAAAAAAACGAAACGAGTTCTTGCCACAAACTAAAATTTCCTAATATTTGCCACCTAATGGTATAAAACTTTGATATTTTAAAATTAGATTATCTAGTCTAACAGAATTCATAGTTTGACATATCTAAGATCTACAACATCTGGTTGCAAACATATATGGATTTAAAATCAGAGTATGTGAAAAAAAAACTCGTTTTCTTATTTGCCGGAAAGGAACCGAACATTTGTCCTAAACTAAACCACATATCTTTGCGACCTGAACTCTGATGTTCAAGAATACTAATTCTTTAAAATCTAAAACCAAAGTTTGAAATATCAAAGGTTTATTCCCTTAGATTGCAAAGATATATGGTTTAGAAAGTTTGATGTAAGATTTCAACTCCTGCTTGAAAACGTTAACTTTATCTGATTTAAAAAACTTGAATTGAAAAACGTTGTGTTTATTCTAAAGTTATAAAGTGTTTTATTTCACTAATTTATGTCAATCTTTAAAAAGCGTCTAACTTATTCGCTTGTTAATGTATAAACAAGGAATACAATTGATAATGTGCAATATGTGGAATTCTGCGTTTATAAAAATTTTAGGAAAATTTAATAGTTAAGCTTACTACTTATTTTTTCTTCAAATAAATAATATACATTATTAATAAATCATAATTTATTTTTAAAAAATAGAATTTAATTTAATTCACGAAGAGAAAAATGTAAATTATGAAGCTGTAATCTTTCTAAAACTTTAGCAACAAATTTTTAAATCATCAGAATATGCAATGTCATGGCAGCTTACTGAATCTTGTAATATTTTTCATTTTCAGTAATTTCTGTCTAATAAGCGTTGTACACCTTTTTCTAATTAATTAGTTATTTATAAAATCTATAAATATAATATAGTATAATATAATTATCTAAGGAAGAGTCATTTTAGATTTGACCAAAGAAATCAATATGTTTGAACACTTCAATATCTTCGTCTTCTTCTTTATGTTTCTCGTTCTCATTGTTTCCAACCTTACTGCTGGGGCAATCCGGGGTTACAGGCGATCTCTTCCTTATCTCAAGTTGAACATCATTCTCATCCTCAACTGCTTCCTGGTCGAAGCTTTTAATCTTTTTGTTACAATCTTGGTAATTTATGCAATTTAAAACCAATCGGATTATTTAAAAAAAAATAATGTTCGTTGAATATTCAACTGGAATTATTATGTTTATTTTTTTTGGGTGGGGGAGGAGGGGGGTCATAGCTAATAAAAGGGTTTAGAATCTTTGACCTTCATAGCTAGTTAATAATATTCTTCTCTAATACTTGAGAGTTCATATTAGTTTATTATTGACGATTGATAAGGGTTATGTAAGCTAAAATTTATTCAACCCGTTAGATTATACAGGGTTACCCAAAAGGATAAGACTTCAGAAACGACCGCACAAAATTTCTTTCATCCTTTTTCTTTATTATTATAAAGATTTATATACACACAAAGATATATTACATGTATATATTAATGCTGTAGCTTAAATTTGTTTAGATACTTCGAATATATATATATATATGTATATATATATATATATATATATATAATTATAGTGTTACAAAAAAGTAATTATGCAAAAATAGGCGATAGTGATCATTACTCATTTCATAACATATTTATCATTTTAGTCATTCATCACTCCAATTACAGCTAGCTGTACACGGTTTCTTTATTGCATGCAATTATTATAGTAGACCCCATTTTAAGTTCAATCTTGAAACCGTTAGATTTGGAGAAGGTTGTCATTACAGTTTAAACCTTTGTGAGTAACCAACCCTGTATGTTTCATTATTTACAACCTTGATAACCTAGAGCTTTTCCTGGAAACCAATCTTTCTTTGTAAAAATCAACCTTCCAAACTTGGAATTTTTAGACCAAGCTAAGAACATTCCCGTGGTTCTACCAAGTTCATAATTCAACCTTTGAGGCAAATTGGTTCATGAGTTATGATCGGACATACTAACAAACAATTTAGTACAAATATATTTGGCTTGTCTGTCTGTTTGTTTGTTTGTATCGAATAAACGGCTAAACCGATCAGGCCCAACATTTGCGTGGCAACTATTATATTTAGTTGAAAAATTTAGATTTTTTTAAATGTTGGGAACGTGGTAATT